AGTTAAGACTAGAAGAACGTAATAACAACTAGGTTGTTTCTATTATAGTAGAAGTGTTTAATATACTAGGCAACGTTAGTCTAGAGTATACTAGAATTACTTCTGTTCTACACTTACTCTGTCTAGCTTTCTATGCTCTACTTAGTAACGCATCTTAACACTCTTAATTCTGTTATTATAATATATTATAGTTAAATTCTTCTTATAATAGAGCGCTTAGAGTATATTAAGATTGTTTAGAGAGGCGTGCAGCTTAGCTACTAACACTAGGCCTCTATCTTAAAGTAGTTTATAGAGAAAATAGTTTTGTAACAAAGTTACTAGTTAGAATTAGTTTTAGTTAGCACTTAATTAATAGTGTATGCGTACTTATATTTTAATTGCCTTCTTGCATAGTGCAAATAATTTAATGCAACTCTTCTCTTATAAGTAGCAGAAGCTTAGATAGTAGAGGTAGTAGGTAGTTATAGTTATTATAGAATACTATAATAATTATAGAATTAGTCTTAATTTTAACTAGAACAAAGATATAGAAGACGTTTAGACATAGACCTAGTTCTAGAAATTGCGTTAGAAAGTTAATAATTAGTTCTTTACTAGTAAGGTAGGTAATCTCTAGTTAATATAAGTATTAACTAAGATAGCTCTCGCACGTACGTATAGTAGATAGGTTTTCTTACTCTATTCTACTCTATAATATAATACTTAGTTATTACTAGAGATATATAATCTTCTTAGAATTGTTATATTAAGAAGAGTATCTCTAAGTTATATTTAGAAGAGATCTTTCTTTTAAAATGCTTACTCTACTAAATACTAAAGTTATATTAATAGGCATATACAATGTAGTACTATAGAGTTTTAGACGTTATCTTATAAAGTTAGTCTACACTTAGATAAGTCTCTATATTAGTATAGTATAGAGAAGATATAAAACAGCTCTTAACTTATAATAATATTTATATTCTACTAGATAGTAGGCTAACAAGTCTTAGTATTATACTTTTTATATAAAGTTCTAAGATAAAAGGTTCTAATTATAGCTATAAAGTAGCTATAACTATTAGACTAAACCTAGTAGAATCTAGATTACTATATACCTATAGATCTCTTGCTGTATAGAGTTTCTATTTTTATAGAAATAGATCTTATATATAGTGTTAACTATACTCTTACTATAATAAGAGTAAGATAACTCTTATACCTAAGAACTAAGCGCGCTATAGTATTTAACACTTTAGTACTTATATTTATAGTAATAGCATTTAATATTACTTAGAATTTAGACTTTTATACTATAATTAGTCTTAGAATTCTTTAACTTATTTGTATTTTTTTTCTAGACTTAGCTATAGCTGTACTAGATTGCCTTATAGGCGTTAGTAAAACGCTAGAATAGACTAAGTGTTCTCTTATACCTTAACCGCTAAGAGAGCCTAATATTAGGTTTTTATATATAGTAACTCTACTACGTATATAGTACTAGTAGGTAAGGTATAAGAGTATATTAGCACTATAGTTGTGCAAAAAAGCACTAATACCTCTAGAGAAGTAGTCTAAGTACTGTCTTAATTCTAGATAATAAAGTTATTATTAGCCTTAACTTCTGCTTTGCTATTTAAATTAACTAGTATATTAGGTTTAATCTTAGTATTATCTAGGTAATAATTACTAGAATTACTATTAACGTTAACGTCTAAGAACTTAGGCTATTATAAGTTAGAAATAAACTTAGTATAATTTAGGTAATATACACGTACGTCTTTAGAAGGCTTCTCTAGGTTTAGCTAGTAATGTGCGTTCTATAGTAGTATAAGAGAGGTTTATACTAGTAGCTTAGCTACTATATAGGTAAACTAGATATTACTTTACTTATTATTAGCGCAAGATGTAGACTATAACTAGACTAAGTATATACTAGACTCTTAACTGCTCTAAACGCTACCTACTTATATACGCTTTATTAGAGATTCTTCTAAGTCTCTTCTAGATACTACGTACGTAGAAGATACTATAAATATGTTATAAGATAGGTCTAATAGTATACAACTACGCTAAATAGAGTAACTATAATCTATCTAAGATAAATTAAATTAGTAAGAGCCTAGTATAAGCTGCGCTATAGTATACCTAGGTTATATATATACCTAAGAGAAAAGGTTACTTAGTTAGTAACTTATCTAAGTATAAGTTTAAAGGCTTATTATAGTTAATAGTGCTACTAGTAGTAGTATTAATTAGCAAAAAGTTAATAGTAACTAACTAGAGTCTGCAGAATTAGACTAAGTATACTCTATAACTAGACTAGACAGTAATTAAGTATACTGCGTGTTAGCTAAGAGACTTAACTATATATAGTCTAAGGTTCTGCTAGAGCTACGCTGCAATCTATTATAAAGTAATTATTATATATTTAACTTAAAGTAGTAGGTCTATATTACTAGAGTAGTCTCTAAGTATAGTCTAGGTTCTATCTCTACATAGGTTACTTATAGCTAAGCTAATAAGAGAGGCTCTTATACTACTATAGTATTAGTAATAAGACCTAAGTTTATTAGACTATACTAGGTATATACTAAAGTTAAGAATAAGAATTTTAGTTCTACGTATCTTAGATCTAGATCTATCTTAGTCTAATCTAATGTAGTATTAAAGATAAATAAGCTAAAAATTCTAGAGTACTAAGCTATTCTAGACACTAAGTAAGGATAGCTAAAGTGCGCTTCTGCAGCACTTGCTAAGGTTACCCAAGGTCGCGCCGCAGGACAGCTAAGCTACACCGTCCTAATCACACCGGATGCTGCGCCGGCATTTCGCATGCCTTTCTTTCCAGAAGCCAAGCCCGGCATAGTGGTGTTTCTCCTATCGCAGCACTTGATCTACATCCTAGCTGCTAAGAGACGGACGGCCGTAGTGATGGCGAGAATGTTTGTCTTGGTTCCGCCAGCAGACCCGGGGCTACCCCATTGAACAACCAAGCCGCGGTGTGTAGTGGAGCAAGGCATATAAAGCCATCTTGAGTCGCCTCGTAGATCACCACCACGATCAAACATCTCCCTTCGCTTCCTACCACAAGCAATTCATATTCAAGATGGTCTCTTTCACCTCCCTCGTCACTGCTGCTATTGCGGCCACTGGCGTTTTCGCTGCTCCCGCCACTGATGTAGCTGCTCGTTCGCCTAGTGACCTTGTTGCCCGCCAGAGCACTCCCAACGCTGAGGGAACTCACAACGGCTGCTGTAAGTCGTATCATGAAGCAATATGTTGAGCATAGCTGATCACGCGTCTAGTCTACTCTTGGTGGACTGATGGTGGCTCCCGTGTCACCTACACCAACGGTGCTGGCGGAAGCTACAGCGTCAACTGGGGAAGCGGTGGCAACTTCGTCGGTGGAAAGGGATGGAACCCTGGATCCGCCCGGTATGTTAACCCAAGCAACTGCATGCTTGGTGTGAGACCTTTGCTGACCATGTATCAGTACCATCACCTACTCGGGTACCTACAACCCCAACGGCAACTCCTACCTTGCCATCTACGGCTGGACTCGCAACCCGCTCGTCGAGTACTACGTCGTTGAGAACTTCGGGTGAGCAATGTCCCTGTACGGACTGCATGAGAGGCATACACTAACACCATAAAGAACCTACGACCCATCTTCGCAAGCCTCGAACAAGGGTACATTGACCGCCGACGGCTCTTCCTACAAGATCGCCCAGTCGACCCGTACCAACCAGCCATCCATCGATGGAACTAGGACCTTTCAGCAGTACTGGTCTGTTCGCCAGAACAAGCGTTCCAGCGGATCTGTCAACATGAAGACTCACTTTGACGCCTGGGCCAGCAAGGGCATGACTCTTGGTAGCCACTACTACCAGATCGTCGCCACTGAGGGTTACTTCTCCACTGGATCCGCTTCCATCACCGTCAACTGCCCGTAAGCTTTCTATCACGGAAAGACTCAACTCCCTGAGGCGGTGACGCAGATGGCGTGATGGTATGACGGTGTGACGATGTCAAAGGTTGTTCACTTCGCTGGCGACTTCTTTACTGTAAATATTATCTTACTCTGGCTTGCTAGCTAGCACAAAAATGTCAAACTTTTGCCATTCCACATGCCGGCACATGTTGCTCCGTTCTATACACCCTTTCACGTTATGTCCACACGCCCAAGATGGCCCCATACCGCATTAATGCAACAACGTCGTAAATGACACCCCCATTAGAAGTGACAAACTGTGTCCAGGCTGTCTGAAGAAAAAACAAGAACGTGAAAGTAGGGAAGACAACAAAGGCAAGAAAACACGGGACCCTCGTTGGCCCGGCGGCTGGGAATGGTCTGGCTATGCTGATGTAGGCGGAAGAGATAGTTACCGCGACGATGTACCGCAGTAGGAAGCAGGTGTAAGAGACCTGACTGCGGGGCAAGGTGAGGTTGACGGGAGCTGGTGATGACTCGATGGCCCTGGAGGTGTCGAAGCGCCTGTCATAGCCACGTCTCTTGCTGAGCTCACCTTTACCTATTCTTCAAAGCCTATGACAGCTGGCAGGTACAGTAGAGGCCCCACCTAGATCTTCTTACTTATACGTTCCTTCCCACAACTACTTCACCTGGTCATCAGCATCCTCTCAACTTCACGGTTCATATTGCAACCCATACAACCTCACCTTATCACTTTGCGAGACACACCAAAAGGGCTCGCGCTATGGCAGACATATCAGGAAATCTTCAAAAGTCTTCCGACCACTACACTCTGGCGGAGCTTCAAAGAGAAATTGTAAAAGATGAAGATTGGCGGGCAAAGTTTCGCTACCTACCCAAAGCCTCAAAGGCAGATCTCAAATTTCCCTTGATAGTTCGGGGCAGGACCGAGAGATGGCTGCGGATCGGCTCTCAAAAAAGCAACGAAAGAGACCGTGTCTACGCCCGAGTGTGTCCCCCCTCCGCAAACGGCCGCCACAGTCTAGTGGACGTCTGTTTACCTGATGGTATTGTAATAGGGATGCATCGAGCGCAGATAAGGAACGACACTTCGCTGTTGCAAGGGATCAAGTATTTTGAGCCCTTCGTCCAGCTGAACAACATTGGTAGCATCAAGTGGCGCAAGTCGCTTCGCTTCCTAGTCTTGTACTATTTCCTTGAACAAAAACTTATCGACCGTACTATTTTCACAAGAGATGGACTCGAATCATTGCAGAGAGCATGCACAAGTATTGCGGAGGAGGCAATTCGGATGGGGAAAAAGACAGCTCGCCCACTTCTCGTCGTTCCAAAGAACGTTCAGATCACAGAAGCTCAAACTCAGCCGAGATCAGAAGAAGACGACGAAGACGAGGATTTTGAAGGTATACTCGTCAAGCGAGAGGATATACCAGCAGTGCTAGTGAAAGCACCCGAGAATGACTCTATGGGTGCGGTCAGTACCATGCTGCGAAGAGACGACAACGTTGCCGCAAGGCCATTCCCGAAGTCAACGGCCAGTCAAAAGGATGCAGAGCGGAAGTACGGACATGCGCCAGCTGCAACTATCTTCGCATGTGAGACTAAAAGAAAAAGGTCTGCGGATGAACATACCACGAGAGAGAAGGAGCACGGCAGTGAAGAGGATCCGAAGCTGGTGGTAAGTTGCATGATGATAACCTGGAACCGCTGAAATTAACATTCCCCTCAGTGCAGCCGCTTCAAGCGCCTTGCACAAACCAAGATTGAGAACCTCCAAACGGAAGCGACAGCGATCCAAGACACGCTGGATGCGCACGCCACGTCACTCAACGAGGCCGTGATGGCGGTTTCGAATCATGAGAAGGCTCTCGTAGTTGCAAAAGCAAGGCTGGAGACAGTACAAGCTGCAAAGGCGGCCACGGAGACAAGATTGGAGGAAGTGCGCAATGAGGTAATCAAGAAGAGTTGGATATTTCAGGAAGGGTTCGAGTCTTTCTACGGTTGAAGAGCTTGAGGTACGAAAGCATTGAGGACTTTTCACCAGGAGTTACGGAAGGAATGACTTTACGGTTGCGATTTTAGGTGTTGGCGTCGGAGTTCTCACGGAGGCTGCGGCAATGGTAACTGATTGTGAACAAAAAGTCTGCGCTCATTAGGATATGGGCTCTGAGCATCATAGCCAACTAAAACAAATTACAATCACACAAACTAGCCCACCTTACAAGTGCGCGGCGACATCAGTGTAGAGCGGCATCGTACCTGGAGTCGTCGCAAGCGCTTCCTCAATGATTGACAAGGCGAGATCGATCTGCTCCTCCGTAACCGTGATCGGAGGCGCTATCCGGAACACTCCACCAAACGATGCCATCGTGGCTAGCTGAGCCCACAAGCCCATCTCTGCAATCTTTGTTGACACTGCGGCTCCTACTTCCGGGGCACCGACCTTTGTCTTTCTGTCGCCAACAATCTCCATTCCAGCCATCAGACCGCGACCACGAACGTCCCCAATGCAACCGTAGCGTGACTGCAACTGCCTGAGTCCTGCTTGGAGCTTGACACCGAGCCTCTTGGAACGAGCGCAGAGCTCGTCTCTCACGACGATCTCGAGAACCTTGTCGCCCACAGCAGCTGGAAGGGGATCGTTGATATGGGTAGTGTAGAACAAGAAACCGTTGTCTTTGGCATGCTGGGCGATGGGGTTCGAAGTTAAGACAGCACTGAGCGGTATGCCATTTCCAAGCGTCTTGCTGAGTGTCACGATATCCGGTACTACGCTTTCGTCCTCGGGGTGGTGTGTGAATGCGAACATATCGCCAGCTCTGCCAAGTGCTGTCTGTGCTTCATCAACAATGAGAAGCATGCCTCGAGCGGTACAGTGGTCCTTCAAGGCCTTCAGATATCCAGGAGGAAGCTCCAGCATACCGCCACTCGATAGGATCGGCTCAACGATAGCCGCTGCGAGTGAGCCGCAGGACTGTTTGTCTACAAGATCGAAGCCGTAGTCCAACTCAGTCTTCCAATCATGCGTACCATCAGCGTGTCTGAAGATCGATCGATAGGAGTTTGGGGTCGGCAGTGCTAGGTTCTAATGTAGGTTTACAAGGTCAGTGCACGTCTCACATGCAATTAAGGCAGATGCGCTTACCCCAATCATGTTTGGACCGTAACCTGAACGTCCAGCGTGATACTGCGCACCGAGCGATCCGCCTGTCATGCCGTGCCATGAGGCAGCCAGACCAACAATCTCCCATTTGCCAGTGTAGAATTTGGCCAGCCGGATCGCGGCTTCGTTCGCTTCGCCGCCCGTACTGAGAAAGAAAGCTTTGTCGAGCCCAGCCGGCGCAACGCCAGTTAACCGTTTCGCAAGATTGATGACTGGGGGACTGATCATCCCACTGAAAAGATGATCGAGATGTTGCGCATGATCCGCGATCACTTTCACGACCTCAGGATGGCCATGCCCGATCAGAGTGCTCATCTGTCCAGAGGTAAACTAAATAAAACAATTAGCATTGTATACTTGGTACATTCCCGAGCTTGAAGCCACTAACGTCCATCATTCGGTGACCCGATGCTGTCTGCACGTTGATGCCGTCGGTGGAGGTGATGATCTCAGGATGGAATGCGGTCCCGTATGTGAGCAGATTGTCGTCCGCATCGCGCTGCAATTGCGTAATGTCGGCGTCTGCGTATGGAAGAGGCATGATAGTGTCTATTTCGCTGCAGCTGTACTGGTCGATGGGAAAGATGATGTTTGGCGTTGCTTGTGTTCCCCATGTTGCTGGATAGCTGGGGACTGGTTATATAGACAGTCTTGTATGCAGTCCCAGGCGCCATCCCACGGAACGATACGTACGAAGACGCATTGCTATGTTTTCCGACGGAGACGCTGGAAGCATCAGAGTACACACACGTGACCCTATCCCGTCGGAAAGAAGGTGCAGCAAGGGAGGTGCCAGGGGATGATAGCGATAAGCATTGAGCTAACTACGGCTGGCGCTTGAGCCACGATGACGACGCGAAACCCGAGAACGCGACCGCGACCGCGACCGCGCAACTTCGAGAAAACTGCAATGTGTACTTCTACAGCTCAACAGCCGCGCACGCTGCATCAATACACCGAACCCCAAACTCCATGATCTTCATACCACTCACATTCTCAGCCCGAGCTGTAGTTACTCTCGACCCACCCACCATCAATGGACCATGACGCTTTTGTAACGTGCGCGGCCTCATCGCCCAGCAGGAAAGCAACCGATCCAGCTATCTCCCATGTTTCTGGAAGCTCACGGTTCAAGATACATGGAATGTTGTCTTTGTTCAGATGGAATTCACCAGCAGCTGAGTTGAAAGGCCTAAGTATCGGAAGTCAGCGAATGTGTCACGATCAATCTGTACAGAACAGAGCCTACTTCGTCATCATTTCTGTGTTGAAGCATCCGCTGCCTACAGTTAGCTCAGGTCGTCTTCAGACATCCAAGTCACTTACGGGCACAGCGCGTTGACCCTGATTCGCCTCGACGCCCCTTCAAAAGCTGCAACTTTCGTAAGACCAATGAGCGCGTGCTTGGCGGCGACGTATGCTTCAGGGTGGAGATGCAAAGTCAGCGTGTGTTTCGTATGCATTTGGAAAACCTCGGTATTTACCCGATGTGCCAGGCGTTCCGTAGTGGCTCGCGATGCTTCCAACATTGACGATTGAGCCACCGTCCTTGATGACCTTCATTTCTTGTTTCAAGCAATGGAAAGTACCAACAACGTTTACGTTGAGCAGCCTAGCGAAGTATTCTGGGTCGAGGTCGGTTATAGGGAAGATCTCGCGTTGCTCCACCGCTAGACGACTCGATCAGAAACACATACAGTATCCAGAAAGCTAATTGAGCTCACCAGCGACGTTTGCGGCTCCATCAAGCTTTCCGAATTTAGCTACAGTCTCCTCGATCCAAGACCGAACACTGTCTAAGTTGGCGATATCTACGACGCACGTCCAGTACCGGTCCTTGGCGTCTGGAAGCTCAGCGTCAATCTCTTTGGTGGCTTTGGACAGATTGTCAACCGACGTTGCCTACAGTTTAGTGTACAAAGTCAGCACACGTCTCGTATGTATCTGTTACATGAACATTACTTACACACATAGAGACTGTGGCACCTCGTATCAGCAAGTACTTGCTAACAGCCAGACCCAGTCCACGGCTGGCTCCAGTTACAGCGATGACCCTTCCCAAAAAAGGAAGGGTGTTGACAGCATATGGGAGGGTCTTAGCGGTGCCGTTCATATTGATGAGCCAGGATATGAGAGAAGTCAGGTAACATCAGTTCGACAGCAACGTACCGCTCATATATCTCACGAGTCAACAGCGATATGCAAACCCTCGTTCATGGCTGCGAGCCACGAGTCGCCAGCACAACCGCGCCGCATAATCATATGCCGAACTCCTAACTAGGTTCCCACATGGGATACTACGACCCGTTTAGAGTCTCAGCACTAGAGATCCTTCAGTGGGGCGCGGAGTTGTGTGCCGCTCGTGGCTGCTCATTTGGGATATCCCCGGAACTAGCGCGATCCATCTGGCATTGCCGCCGGGCGCCAGCTCCACAGACAATCAATCGCACGATCATATCGTCTAAACCAATGCCCTTCAAGATTCATTCGTTGGTACTCGTCTGCTCCTCTCACATACAATTCATGCAATTGTCGACGGTAGAACAATGTGCAGTCAAATCCCTTTCATCCATACCCGAGGGCAGATGACGTCGCAGACATTGTTGATAGAACGAGCGATGCCGGATATGAGATAAGATGATCTCACCAGCTTCATGGATGCGAGTTCGCCCTGCAGATACCTACCGGAAACGAACCATGCGAAATGCGGTTACCAGTACCTAGATTTGTTGACAGTGGTAACCAGTCCAGCGGTGCCATGCGATAATCAGGCGCAGGTAGGATTTGTGATTGGCTTGATCAGTTCGGAGGTTATAAGCATGCGCCTCTCGCCTCGACTGTCACCCTGCGTATCTCAACCTGCGCTCGCTTTCTAGTTTGGCGAGGATGAGTGCGACGTCAGTCTACATGGCGGTACCACCGCCTGGCCAAATCAGACATACAATCAACCCTCCGAGCCTTCATAGAGAACTCGCCGCCGTTGGAGTCTCGACAACGATGATTGCTCTGGTAGCCGTGATCCTACAGCTCTTTACACGAGCGTATGTCACCAAACTGGGTATCCGTCTCAACGATTGTGGGTCTCCCCAATGGTCTACGAATCTTGAAAAAAGGTGATCGTGCTAATTCTCGGTGTTCAGATATAGTAGTATGTGCAATGGTTTGCAGCCTTGCGCTGCTGGGGTGCAATTTTCCGCGTATGTCCAATCGCCGTCACTCTCCTTTGCAAGGCTAATTGTGACGCAGATATGAAGTCCGGCTTAGGCTACCATATGTGGGAAGTCAAAACAGACGAGTACATGGTTCCTTTCCAAAAGGCAGGTACACTCGTTGCAACATTCCGGCTGCGACACTAACGAAACACGCAGTGGACATTGGTCGGCACGACCCTATACGCTACCAGCATTGCATTCTCAAAACTTTCGATACTGCTGTTCTATCTACGCCTGTCGCCACAAGTATGGTTCCGCACACTAGTCTGGATCCTCGTCGCAGTTGTCGTAATCTACGCCACCGTTTACGATCTCGTCAGTATCTTCGGCTGCAGACCGATAGCCGCGACATGGGATCTCAGACTTGTACCTGGGGCTACATGTCTCGATCAATTGACCAAGTACATGGCGCTCTCCGTCCTGAACATTATAATTGATGTCTTGACATTGATACTTCCGATACCCATTGTAGCACGACTACAGATGCCGCGGAGACAAAAGATCACTGTATGCGCTATTTTCGCGACCGGTGGATTGTAGGTCATCTCAATTGTCGAACAAGATCGGACTGACCTTACTCGTAGCGTCTGTGCCGTCGCAATCCGTCGAACGACCCTGTTGAATCCTCTCATGGTCTCTGCCGATTACACGTGGGAGGCGGTCGAACAATTTCAGTGGTGTTTTGCCGAAGTCAATGCCGGCATAGTTTGCGCATGCGCTCCCGCTCTGAGGCCGTTCTTCGCGCGCTACCTCCCTAGCCTCTTGAGTTCCCGCTTCCGCAGCAACAACCGGGATGACGATGGCTGTAAGAGCAACGAATTAGCACCACCGGATTCACATAGCCGATACCACGTCAAGGAGGCATTTGAAATGCGACTGCGAGATGATGTATCTATAGAGACAGCAATGACTAAGCACAGTGGTGTTGATGATGAGGCACGGCTCTGGCAAGATGCTACAAATCCAGGCGGGAGAACTGTCACTACCTGTTCTGTTGTACACGCTCGTTGATAGAATGTTTGGTTCACAGCCATCTTCATACTTGGTAGCGGCTGGGCTACAAGGCCTAAAATGATGTGTAAACTGCCAAGCAGGCATGGAAGATGATCATTCGCTTGGTACCTCCATATCTACTTGATGAGGTTTCCTCTTTCGTCGTCATCAGTCTCCTCTTCACTGTCTGTTTCGTATTCGCTCTCCTCCTCCTCCGTCTCTTCCTCTTCGTCCGTTTCCTCTTCACTGCTGCTCTCCTCTTCTTCCTCGGCCAGCCAATCGTCCAGCGTCTTTTCTTTCTGTGGTACTTTACTTGCACCACCCATACTAGAATCTCCGCCCATACCGTTCAGACTTCGTGGGCTCAACATGCTGTCTGGCGTCATCCTGCTACTACCACCTGCTGCAGCGTCTAACCTTTCCGCCGCTGACATGTTTTTCGCGGTCTCGTATGCCGATACGTATGTTGAGGAAGAGTTTGAGACGACCTCGTCGCGTAGAGCTGGATCCGGTTCGTCACCTTCTTTGACCCAACGGGGCAGGTCTTCATAGCCTCGTAAACCACCTACACCGCCTTCGTCGCCGATGACAAGACTGGCGCTGCCGAGCACGTAGCCCTTTCTTGTTTCACTCGGGCTGGGTATGTGTGGCACTGGTTTCGGCGCAAGAAGTAAGAGCGACGCGAGTTGTGTCGATGTTGGTGTCGCCAGAAGCGCTTTGTAGACGCGAGCGCGGTCGCGGAGATCGTACGAGGTGTCGTACCTCACGAGCAGGAGCACGTAGTTGTATAGGGCTCCAATAATGTGTGGCTTCTCCTCTTCAGGCTCCGCATTCTGTGGGGCGGACTCAAGATGCTCGTCCCTAAAGCCGCCTTGGTCTTCCTGGAAATCGTCCATGAGCGACGGACTCGGTTTGGGCTCTTCCACTTTCGGCTCTGGAGGCGGGTTTGCAGTTAAGTGATGCACATAGACCTTCGCTGCCAACAGAACGATTTGGAGCTTTGCCGGCTCAGCTTCTTCCGCGAAGCCTTTGACAAGGATACGTAAGACATCGGCGGCAATGTTGTTCTCTGGGTCGATTCCTGCAAACTCTCCAACCAGCCATATAATGCTTGCTCGTGCCTGAGGGCTCGTTGCTGCATCAAGGTGTTTCGCTAACCGGACCACAGTTGTTCGATGAGCGTTCGGGTTTCGTTGGATCAGATGTCGGATGACTTCCAGCGATTCGGCTACCAGATGAGTATCAGCCGATCCTATGTGCTTTAGCAGCAGCTTCAGACATCTTGCTGAAGTCTGCGGGCTTGTTGCAGGGCTCTGTGAACAGCGTCCAATTGCGCGAACAGACTCTTTGACCAATGCTGGATCCAAGCTTCCGGAATGGGAGAAATGGCTCAATTCAGCTAAGATCAGGCTCTGTAGTCTTAGAGGTGCATGGGGAAATATCAGAGTAAGCAGTTCCAGTTTGAGCTGCCAAATGTGTGGTGCATCGGTTGACCGCACCAAGAAATGTGTGTAGTACTTGACGAATGGCTCCGGGTGTGTCAGGCAGACTTGCACGATGTTGTACAGTGCGATGTGCTGAATGTCTCCCGCAGATCTCAAGAGGGATATCAGCGGGCCAATGGCCTGAGTCAGGTACTCTGGGGTGCCGAGATACAAGTACGTCCTTGCCACCGCTATCACTACAGCCGCGTTCCGAGACTGCAAAAGCGACTGACAGCCTTTCAGCAGCAGTTCCAGGTCCGGATCCAGCACAGCAATCTCTTCCATATCCTGTTCTTGTTCCTTTTCATCTTCTTCTGAATCGCTTTCTGAATCGTAGAAACCTTTCGTCGACTGCGTAGGCTTTCTATTTGTCGTGACCCCAGCTGCCTTCTTGACCTTCCTCGTCCGGCGCGGAAAGCACTTCCTTGCATATATCATCATGAGCCGCAGTGTGGCCAACTGCCCCCACTCGTCCATATCGACTAGTTTTCGTACCAACGAACGGTAGTGCGGATGTATGAGATCCAGACGCTCCGGACATAGCTCTAAGAAAGACGATACAGCTGCGCCCGTCACGAAGTACTGCTTGTCGCCCAAGAGTGTCGAAAGGTATTCCAGTAGCTGCGGCTCGGTGTTCGGATCCAGCCTGTAGCACTTCGGTATTGCCAGAGCTGCTGCCCTCCGGACATATGCTGACATGTCTCCAGAACCGCGCTTTATACCCAAACTAACAATCTGGCTGATGACAGGCACCCTTATACTCGACATGACGCGTAGAGCGAGGGCGCGAAGCTGAGGATTCGTGTCCGTGAGCGACTTCTGTATCGTATTGATGGATAGCAGCGCGGTGTCTGGCTCGTGTTCGGCATGTTGGAGGAGGTAGATGTAGACGAGCTTCTTGACCTGGAGCGAGGGGGATGCGACGTTCTTGATCACGTGGGAGAAGAAGGGCAGCGTTTGTGAAGGCGGCTGTCGATAGGACATCTAGATGTGCTGTAGTCAGTTACTACACGTCCCACAGCGTCCAATGGGCTGGTCTCGAGACCGTGGCGGGGCTTCCTACAGTGACGACTCTTCGCAGTCCTTCGAGCACATCGCGCTCGGATCTGCTGTCAAGGAGCTTCTTGAGCTGGCCCGAGGGCAACTCTTTTGTCGGCGCTCGGCGGACATTGCTGGCATCGCGGGCGGCTTCGAGGGTGAGGTCGCGAGCTGCAGAGAGAGACCAGTGAGCGAAGTTCGAGGGATGCATGACGGCGGTACCAAGCAATTACATGGTCAAAAGG